AAAAGTGTTGTAATATCGTATCGTATAAATGAATGAATTTAGAATTTTCATTTTAATAAATTTTAATTGTTATAATAAATATAATAATATATCTAATAATAGATATCTACGCTTGATTTTAATTGAAAAATTTCAGAACACAAGGAACATTTTCAGTTTCACTATTTTTTCTCTATTTTTCTTTCTTTTTCTTTACGTGTGTGCTCGTTGAATTATTTATATTTTAATTATCGTCAAAAAGAAGTTAGAGAATAAATAGAAATTTTGTGTAAATACAAATTTTATAACGTATCACACAAACTGGTGAATTTTCATTTTAACTTGCATTGGTAATTGGAAAGTTTGAACGTTATGATTAATTAAATTTTAATTATAGTTATCGTTAAAGTTCATCATTCATAAAGTTTTTTTCGATTTAGTTACTTACTTTCAATAAAATTGTTTATAAAAATTATTCGTGAAATATTAATTATCGATCTACAATTTTTATTCGACGATATTTTTTTTTAACGCCCCGCGTTATCCGATATCGAATTACTTAAACTTTGATTATCGCTGTACAAATTGAAAATGTAATATCGTTTGCTATAAATAAAAAATTCGTGATGAGGCTAAATCGTTGCATTGAATCACGATTTTAATATAATTGATGGAACAATTAATTTCTAAAACGTGAAACAATAACGAAAATTAGGTTGTAATATCTTCGTATCGAATAAGAAAAAATTGATAAAGTCACATCATATGGTATTCTAATTTAACTGTAAAAAAATAAATACGAATAAAATGCATGATAAAACAAAATTATTCCAAAATACTTTTATGGAATAATAAAATCAATTACTTTTATATATATATATAAAAAGAAAGAAATTAACAAAAATTAACTGATTTTGAATATCATATCATGCTTGCTTCAATTTTCAATCACAAGAAATGCATAGGCAATATTGAATGTGATATTTTAAAAGCAAATATTTGCAAGTTATGATGATGTTTCATAAAAAAGTTAACCGTTAAAAGGTTCAGAAATCAAATTACATTCCAAAATCAATAGATATTAACGTACAAATAAATTTTTAAATATTTATTTTGTACAATGAAAAAATTGCATTCGAGTTGAAATGTAATGTATCTTTTGAAAAAAAAAAAAACAACGTTTTTAAATGAACACAATTTTATCCAGTTTTTAATTCTCTTCGATGACGAATATTCCATGAAGAAATTATATTTTATTTATGGAAGACACGATAATTTTTAAATAAAAGTGAATCAAGCGTGTTCTATCAAATACATCTTCTAATTCATGAATTTTAGACATATTTAGAGTATTAAAAATTGTATAATCTTCTTAAAACGTTTTAATACTACGAATAATATTAAAGTTACATTAGTTGAAATATAGTCTGAATATAAACGCTGATCGATATTTGAGAATAAAATTCAGTGCCAAGCGTAGAATGTATACGATACACAATGGAAAAATATTCAGGTAGATAGGTGAAGAAATATAGCGAAACGAAAGATTTCATTTCAGATTTTTCGTTTCGAGTTGTATTTAATTTCTTTTTTTCTCATTTTAAATAGATTCGTACCTTCGAATTTTCCGCGCGACGGGATTAAAGAGACAACACGATCATTTAAATGATATCAGCCATGCATTCCGCACAGAATCGAATACGATTTTAATTAAACAGCGAAAGCTGTTTGATGAAAGAAATAAATCATGCGTTATGGCTCGTTAGATACAATTAAAATAAATAAATCAGGGAAGAATTATTTTTACGCGTATCATAATATATTTCGTGAATTTTTTCACCAAGTAGATTTATATAAAATTTATTTCCCTTCGTCGTCGTCATCAGCGATCAAGATTTTTAAAACGTTATAGAAATGTCGAATTGTTGATCGTCTTCCAGTTTTAAAAATAAGAATAATTTCAATTTGTATCCCAAAATAGATCCTGATCCGAATAAATTTTAATTTCCAATATACGCGAAATTATCTTTTAAAATTTGATCATGACGTTACGAAATATACATTTTTCCATTTCGTATTTTCCATATACAATTCATAATATTTGATGATACTTTTAGATTCTTTTTCTTTCGATTTTATTCGTATTACGTTCTTTGATATAACGATATAACGAAAAAAAGCTATTGCTTTCTAAAGATGTAGCCCTTTTGATCGATAAGATTTTATCTTATCTGAGATATCTTATTTCTTGAGATATGCAAATCACGAGAATGTTTACGTACAGGGAATAAGGCATCCGCGTTAATATTCAAACACTATTTCTGAATTTATTACTTTGCAAAAAAGGATTATACGAAGCTGTCGTGTTTCTTATTTCTAATTTTAAAAAATTTTTCCAAATGTCGATCCATCGTCTCGCTTCGTCGATATTATTACGACGCTATAAACTCTGTATAAACTCTCACAAATCACGTTGTATTTCTCTCAGGTATGATCCAGAAATTGGATATTTCCGTGGATAAATTCTGTGAACGCAATCAGGCAAGAGAAAAATATTGTTGATATGTTGCGATATTTTTTTTTTATATTTTTCCTCTTATTACATATATACAGATATTTTTCTTCGTTTACACGATTTAAACAATTTCAATTCAATTCTGTAAGAATTTCACGATCTTCTTCGAATGTTCAAATAATTTAATATAAATTGCACTTCGTTCGTCTATTTAATTCGATTTAATTTAATTTGTCATCATTTTTCTTACACTATATTTTATTAATTGTTTCTGTGTATTTTATTAATTATTAGTTTTATTAATTGTCTTATTATTGAGATTCTTATATCTGTTTTAATTTGATTTAAACGATATGTATCAAACGTAATAGAATTAAATTATTCTTATTATTCCTCGATTTATAACGTATACACAACATTCGAGATACAGAATTTCATAAAAGAAAAGTATATAGAGTTTGAATATTATAAATTTAATTTAACTTCGAGAAATATAAGCACTTATGATTAATATTAAAATACGAAATTTCGCAAATTAAATTATGTTATTCGCTTTGATTTTTAAAATTTTAAAAGGACGGATATATTTAATTCTTTGTTGTATGATAATGCTGGAATTAATAACAAAATAAACTCGCATCTCAGAATTACGAGTTTCTGCTAACTTGGGCCATAATTATAGCAGGATTACTTTTGCCCTGCTTTCCAGTAATATTTTAATTCCGAGATTTGAATAATGAATCATAAAGTTAATTTTAAACTTTAGAAGTTTTATATTAATTGCACACGTATGCACACACATGTCAATTACAAAAAATTTTTTCCTACGAAATGATAAACATTTACGTAACAATAACTTAACTTAATCCAACATCTTTCTAATTCTCCTCTTTCGCGAATTCCCTTTTTGGAATTTTTAAAAATACGATGTATCTTTAAAGAAATTTATATAAATTCTAACATCGATCAGATAACTCATCGTACGAGAATATAATCGTTTCGTTTTCTGAGTAAGATTTAGATCTATCTTTACAGTTATCACAATCGATAATTTTTATCTTATATATATATATCTTTCTAAACAAAATTTCATATACAGTGAGCTATAAAAAGATTATATCTTATCTTATATTCAATCCTTATTTAAAAAATTAATTGTTTAATTTCAATTAAATATTGAATTAGTATTACGTACAATCAATCCATTACAAAATTGTTCATTAAAACCAGATTTTTCTGAATTTTCAATAGCAAAGTAGTTTACAAGTAGATTACTTTTGCCTCCTACTGTGTAAGTCGTGGTAACACGATTTTCATAAGGATCGCGCTTAAATGTTACTTGGCGTAGAATGGAAGGCGAGAATGTATCAACGATTATGAA